CTAGCCTTTATGACACGCACACACTATAGCCTTTATCACACACAAACTAGCCTTTATCACACATACACACTAGCCTTTATCACACACACACTAGCCTTTATCACACACAAACTAGCCTTTATCACACCCAAACTACCCTTTATCACACCCAAACTACCCTTTATCACACACACACACACACTAGCCTTTATCACACCCAAACTATCCTTTATCACACCCAAACTAGCCTTTATCACACACACACTAGCCTTTATCACACCCAGACTAGCCTTTATCATACCCAAACTAGCCTTTATCACACCCAAACTAGTCTTTATCACATCAAACTACCCTTTATCACACCCAAACTACCCTTTATCACACCCAAACTAGCCTTTATTACACCAAACTACCCTTTATCACATGCACTAGCCTTTATCACACCCAAACTAGCCTTTATCACACCCAACTAGCCTTTATCACACCCAAACAAGCCTTAATCACACACACACACAGACTAGCCTTTATCACACCCAAACTAGCCTTTATCACATCAAACTACCCTTTATCACACCCAAACTAGCCTTTATCACATCAAACTACCCTTTATCACACCCAAACTACCCTTTATCACACACAAACTAGCCTTTATCACACCCAAACTAGCCTTTATCACATCAAACTGCCCTTTATCACACCCAAACTAGCCTTTATCACACCAAACCACCCTTTATCACACCCAAACAAGCCTTTATCACACCAAACTACCTTTATCACACACACACTAGCCGTTATCACACCCAAACTAGCCTTTATAACACCAAACTACCCTTTATCACACACACTACCCTTTATCACACCAAACTAGCCTTTATCACACACATAACAATACAATAAAACATTTCTTGTTCTGTAAGTTGAGTATTTGTCCAAGATAACACAATATTCTGATACAGATGTGCCTACATCTACCCCTTGAAAGGTTTGTAAAACAAGGTGGCATTTGAAAGATGGAGTGAAATAACTTTCTGACAATGCACATGCATTGAAGCAATCCTTTCTGCTGATTGGTCACTTGATAGGATGCCATATTAATGCCATGACAAACTGACAACATAAGGCGATCTGAACAACAGACTGAACTCAGTGAAGATTCACGGTTCATACATTTAGTTTCATGTTCTTTCTAAAATGAGTAAAATACTACTCAATAGAAGTTTAACAATACCCATTTCTTTCATATTACTGGCATGACAGATTAACTTCAGTTAATGACCAAATTGGGGTTTCTTTAACCTTTTTGAGTAGTATATATAGAATCAATTCCCACACAGAATAGTGAGTGAGTTGAGTTTAACGCTGCTTTTAACAGTATTCCAGTCATATCACGGCCTGTCAACTTAATGTGGGAGGAAAGCCTGAAGTGATGCCGGTCTCAGACGTTTACCACTTCGGTGAAACCCATGAGCACGGGTATGGTGCTGACAAACCTAGAAACATAATCGGGGCGAACCGGGATTCGAACCCACAATCATAGTGGTTGCCCTTTGGTAACTCTGACTAAATACCGACCTTGGCCTTGTTCCACAAAGCGATCTTAGTGATGTCGTAAGACTACATTGTCTCAACGGAACTATCACTTTGTCGTCCCACGGCTGCCTGGGAGAGTCATCCAGAGGAAGTGACCTCTAAAGGTTGTTTGGCTGACTTGTTGTTGAGCACCACACATTCCACCAGCTTTGTGACGGTGGTGTGTAAATAATCGCGTCTGGACCAGACAATGCAGTGATTGACATGCGCATCGATCCACCCAAATGACACAAGTAACCGAGTCTGACCACTTGATCCATGTAGTCATCTCTTATGACGAGCACAGGTTACTGGAGACCTATAACATTTCCTTTTACTCTAAATGTAGTCTAGTGGTGCACATTTAGTAGACATACACTCTATTTCGTATCCTGCTCCTACATCCTGTACCTGCCATCAGTTCACTGTACACCTAGGTGGCAGTACAGTACAGAACAACATGGATAGAACTCAACAAGAAGTCTCATTCTTTAATGCTGTTTAGTATTGTATAAAATTCATGATTTTTATAACAGACAAACATTCAAGAAAACCAACATCTAGTTGCGGTCCCATCTGATCGGTAGTCAACACTGTATCAGACCGCTATATCTATATATATATACAAACAGAAAAAGGTAACAGTGCTTCATATAAAGTTCAATAAAAATAATTCTATTCTGAGATTAAATAATGCATCTCTAAATATTCATCTCCTTTACCTTGAGGTCATCATTCACAATATTAGGAGCCTAGCGTGATTGTTGGGACTATGATACTCATGCACATGTTTTTGTAATGTGAACAGCACACACTGATTGTTTAGTTATCACTTATCAGTTATCCTAAAAACACTTTTTTTTAACCGTACGTAACGCTTACACAATGCCACGGCTTGCTGAAAATCACCGTCTATACGCCGTGGGTATGCTGCAAGCAGGAATGGCGGAAAACGAAGTTGGCAGACATTTTAATGTTCACCGAAACACAATATCATCTCTTTGGAGACTTTATCTACAGCAGGGCAACACTCATGACTTGCCACGGGCTGGTTGTCATGATGTCAACAAGACAACCATATTCGGTTGGTGCATCTACAGATACGATACCAAACTGCCGCATTAACTTCTTGGACAATTCCTGGATTGAGGGCAGTTAGGCAGTATGAAACCCAACCGCTTGAGGGAGCCCAATTTTACTTCCAGGTCCCCGTCAGGCATGCCTGGCTTGGTGCAGACAGCATCTGAGGTTCAGGAGTCAAGACAAGGACTGTATACTGTCCACAAACAAGTCAAGGTTTCATCTGGACAGTTCTGATGGTCGTGCAAGTGTCAACAGGCATCAACAGGAGAACGTTATAGAAACACTTTAGGTGGCATCACAACTCATCATTGTTAATGGAAATTTGAATGGCGCACGCTACTGGGACGACATTGTTCAAGATCATGCACACGCAGGGATGTAATGTCATGTTGCAACAGGATAATGCCCACCTACATGTTGCATGTGTTGTAACAGACGTATTAAAGCAGCATAACATTACTGGATTGCCATGGCCCGCTGTTTCTCCAGACCTCTCCCCCATAGAACATGTCTAGGATGAGATGGATCGACACCTACGACAGGATCAGAACCAGCCAGTAATGCTGCTATCTCAGTTGAGCCAATCTTTGGTTGATATTTGGAACAATATCCCTCTGGCTGTTTTCAATCATCTGGTGTCTTCAATGCACTGCCACTGGTTGGCCTATATCAACCCAAATGGTGGTCACACACGATATTGACATTGTCAGTTGAGTTGTTACACCACCCCTCTTTTAGGGCGTCTCTCTGTCTCCTGTTAACAGTTATGGGTTTTGTACATGCATTTGTCATGATAAAAAATTGATCAGACAAATGACCATATATTATGTTATTTTCATCCAAACATAACATATGAAGTACAATTACCGTACTTTCTTCTGCTTGTATATATTGATCATCCGATTCTCCTATATTGCTATAGTTATTCTGTCATGCCATATGATAGTAATATGAAAGAATCGGGTGTTCTTTAACTTATTTTGAGTAGTACACATAATACACATGGCGATAATATCAATTAATAATAATAATCAAGTCAAACGAAACAGAAATCTAAACAAAATTCACAATTTACAAGAAGTGTTATGTTTCTATGCTTGTGAAGATGAATTGAGATTGTCAAGACCGGCTGACAATTAACCCAATCAAACAGAACCTGCAGAACAAGACCACAGTGCTGATGTCTCTATTTTGAGGGCACTTCAAATTGAATATTTGTTCTTCAGCCTCATTACTGTATATAATCTAAACATGAAGGGTCTAACTAGCCTAGCTACTTGTCCCTCGGTTCTAAATCAAATATACCGTATTCGACGTAATAAGCGCCCATGGCGATATTTGCTAATATATTGGCTTGTGAACAATCCCATTTAGCACTCCTTCCGATTGATCTATGTACACAAGACTTATTTATTCGCGTATAATACGCACTCGTGTGTTATATGCATTCTTAATTATGGGCAATTAAATTCTGGAAAAATATATCTGTCCTATATAAACATTTCAGTCTGTCAGCATAAACCACAAAATTTATCTTTCAACTCAGTTTTTTCCACCAAAATAATATTCTAATAAGAGCCCCCTATTTTTAATTTTGAGAGCGCCCTGGGCGCTTATTATGTCGAATACGGTAAGTGGTATTGTTTCTATGACCCAAAATTTCAAAACAAGCAAGTTATCTCCAAATTGTGGACTCTTGGATGAGATGAACCAAAACAACAATACTGGAAATAAAATCCATAGTATCTAATCATTAATATTCCATCAGTTGCTGATACACAAGTGTCAGATATGAGAAACTATCCAAATTGTGTAATCTTCAAACACAGATTCACGCTGTCCTTCAAAAGGACATAAATTCAAATTGACCACTGTATCGTCATTGGGGCAAGAGAATTGTTTGATAGACATCACTTAGAAGTTGATGGATGACAAGTAGACACAATTTATGGATAACAACTTCTTTATTTACTGTAAAGACGACATTGTCGGCTTCAATGGTATAAGGATCTATATCAAAACGTCGCTTTTATCCATAAATTGTCTACTTTGTGAGACAAAAGAAGCTGAAGAACCAATAATAAAGTTGGTGTGAACTAACTCCTGCCTAACCACACAACAAAATCAGTAACCTGAAATTCAAATTAAATGTACTGTATTCGACATAATAAGTGCCCAGGGCGGCCTCAAAATTAGAAATAGGGGGCTCTTATTAGAATAATATTTTGGTGAAAAACAGCAGAGTTGAAAGATTGTAAATTTCATGGTTTATGCCGACAGCTTGAAATGTTTATATACGACAGATATATTTTCCCAGAATTTAATTTCCAATAATAAAGAATGCATATAACACACGTATTATGCACGAATAAATAAGTCTTGTGTACATTGATTAATCGGAAGAGGTGCTAATTGGGATTGTTCACTAGCCAAATATATTAGCAAATATCGCCGTGAGCGCTTATTTGAGCGGGGCGCTTTAACGTCGTATACGGTAATCAAGATCAAGAATCAGAAAACATACAAGTTACGAGTTATATTCTAAACTACTGTACCTCCACTCATCAATATTTAGAAAATGTGCATAAGATATCTTGCAAATTATGTGTTGTCAAAACATTCCATTTTATTTCCCACAACACTTGCTTGCCTTCACAATGTAAATTTCATTTTCTGACTTACATGAGTATATTTTATTACCACTTCATACAACTTTATGATTGTGCTTTTAAATCATGGGTGAATGGGTGATGGAACACAGACATGGAATGAAAAACTGCTACTGGGTCTAAGACTGTGTGCCTCACTGGAGTCTCTAGATGTGAGGACAGAGCTGTGACCAAAGTAGGAATCTAGACACAGACTACTCACAGTCACACTCATCATCAGAACAGTTCTCGGAACAGTTCTCGAAGACTGAAGCACCATCACAAGGTCCATGCTAGAGTTACCTCCCTTACACCACCACAGCATGTAGCTCCCCTTACTTAAATAAAGATGCACATGATTTTAACATGATTGTATTTGTGGTTTGAATATCAGACCTCATGGTAACAATATTTACTCAGAACATAACCTTGGATTGTGGGTTTTTGAACACCTTAGCAACCTACCCTCCATGCACCCCTCGCACTGTCAGTTCACATTCCAAACGTCCTGCAAAACCACAACAGGCTCATGCTGTTTATCAAAAGATTTGCCGTTCATGGTTCTTATTAAAGCTGCCTGTGATACAAAACCTAAATCTCTTAAATGAATCTCAGACTTTGAATATATTCAATCTAAATTTGTCTAAAATCGGGTGCAACATCTCTCAATGCAATGAAAACGTCTTGTACACTGGGACTTTATATCTAAATATAGGACTTTAGATATATTACTAAATCCAATCAAAGTATATTTTTGGCAAGAATATATGTATATGCATCATGATTTTATTTGACTTTCAGGTTGTCTTCTGTATCTATGTGAGGAGCAACGGCCATGATTCATGCAAGAGTGACCTCCCTTGCAATATGTCCAAGTATTTCTGAGTATTATCATTTTGGAACCTCCACATTCAAATCCAAAGAAGGCATTCTTGATCCATGAAGAATCTGTCTTGAAGTCTGGATAACAGTTATATTTCCCTAGCTGTAAAGATATACAGGAACTAGAGACATCCATTGTGGAAAAAGCTACAGAGCTGTCGTCATGGTGACACTTTCATCTGCATGCTTGTGTATTACAATATCCCGGGCAACAAGCTATGTGACGCATGTCTCCAAGACACAGAGATGAACGGCCAGGTTAATATGTGACTGTACAATGATAAAGCTGGCCATGAATATTAATACACACAAGCATATATACTAATCTAATCTACATGACATGGGTGAATGGTGTTCACGACTGGGTAGTCACATTTCACTACTTGTGTTTATATATACTATAGTTACAATGAAGTCAGGATTGACATGGATTAACTTCTTCTTATGCATCATTTTGGTACGGATGCTGGTACTTCACCAAACAAGGTGCTGTAACTTACTTGATGAAAACCACATCCACACAGCTCTGTAGCTCAATCCATGTAATCGTCTGTGTCCATCTGGGCACTACCTGCATCTGTGTCATCAGGGCACGACCTGCATCCGTGACCATCAGGGCAGGACCAGAGTCCGTGACCATCAGGGCAGGACCAGCATCCGTGACCATCAGGGCAGGACCTGCATCCGTGACCATCAGGGCACGACCTGCATCCGTGACCATCAGGGCAGGACCGGCATCCGTGACCATCAGGGCAGGACCTGCATCTGTGACCATCGTGGCACGATCTACATCTGTAACCATCAGGGCAGGACCTGCATCTGTGACCATCAGGGCACGACCTGCATCCATGTCATCAGGGCACGACCTGCATCTGTGACCATCAGGGCAGGACCTGCAACTGTAACCATCAGGGCAGGACCTGCATCTGTGACCATCAGGGCACGACCTGCATCCATGACCATCAGGGCACGACCTGCATCTGTGTCATCAGGGCACAACCTGCATTTGTGTCATCAGGGCACGACCTGCATCTGTGTCATCAGGGCACAACCTACATCTGTGTCGTCAGGGCACGACCTACATCTGTGTCGTCAGGGCACAACCTACATCTGTGTCGTCAGGGCACAACCTACATCTGTGTCGTCAGGGCACGACCTGCATCTGTGTAGACTGTACAAACACCAACACACTGCTGTATATCTCATTTTTGGTGCAGCAAAAATCTAAGTAGTGAGGGTTATATAAATCATAAATCTCCTGTTCTGGAAATCCAATCAAATGCTCATGTATTGCACCAACCAACAAAGACTCAGTTACAACTGTCCATGTGTCTTGAGAATATGTACAGTTTGATTGTAAGTAGCACAATGTTCCTTCAGGGGATTCAAAGTCATATCTACAATGGCAGTCACACAGTGACTGTTTTTTTAGAGACTGGACATCAAGACGGGGCACAATGACGAACTTCACATACAGCCTCATCATGCAACAGAGGACAGGCACACTTGTGTACCATTTCCATCGTCATAGGAACGAGCAGTCTTGACACTGCAAACTTTTATCATCATGTTGCTCATGTTCCAGCTGCTGACTGAATGATGTCTGCTTCAAGTCTGCTTCAAATCTGCTTCATGTCTGCTACATATCTGGACCGCTAACAGACATTCATGGAATATTATCATCTATCAAAGGCAAGGTCATACTTCATCTTCCTTGGAATCTTCATTAACCATCCTGTTTTTCAGTAAGGAGTTGAGGAGATGTATCACTTGATCCATCTTCTGGTCCATACGAGACATCTGAAGGAGGAGCATTGGAGTTATAACACAGAATGACATGTGATACAGGGTCATACAACACATAATGACATGTGATACAGGGTCATACAACACAGAATGACATGTGATACAGGGACATACAACACAGAATGACATGTGATACAGGGTCATACAACATACAATGACATGTGATACAGGGTCATAAAACATACAATGACATGTAATACAGGGTCATACAACACAGAATGACATGTGATACAGGGTCATACAACATACAATGACATGTGATACAGGGTTATACAACATACAATGACATGTAATACAGGGTCATACAACACAGAATGACATGTGATACAGGGTCATACAACATACAATGACATGTGATACAGGGTTATACAACATACAATGACATGTAATACAGGGTCATACAACATACAATGACATGTACTACAGGGTTATACAACATACAATGACATGTAATACAGGGTTATACAACATACAATGACAAGTGATACAGGGTCATACAACACAGAATGACATGTGATACAGGGTCATACAACAGACAATGACATGTGATACAGGGTTATACAACATACAATGACATGTACTATAGGGTTATACAACACAGAAAGACATGTGATACAGGATTATACAACATACAATGACATGTGATACAGGGTCATACAACACAGAATGACATGTGATACAGGGTTATACAACATACAATGACATGTGATACAGGGTTATACAGCATACAATGACATGTACTGCAGGGTTATACAACATACAATGACATGTGATACAGGGTCATACAACATACAATGACATGTGATACAGGGTCATACAACACAGAATGACATGTGATACAGGGTTATACAACATACAATGACATGTGATACAGGGTTATACAACACAGAATGACATGTGATACAGGGTCATACAACATACAATGACATGTAATACAGGGTTATACAACACAGAATGACATGTGATACAGGGTCATACAACATACAATGACATGTAATACAGGGTCATACAACACAGAATGACATGTGATACAGGGTCATACAACATACAATGACATGTAATACAGGGTCATACAACACAGAATGACATGTGATACAGGGTCATACAACATACAATGACATGTAATACAGGGTCATACAACACAGAATGACATGTGATACAGGGTCATACAACATACAATGACATGTAATACAGGGTCATACAACACAGAATGACATGTGATACAGGGTCATACAACATACAATGACATGTGATACAGGGTCATACAACATACAATGACATGTGATACAGGGTTTTAAAAAAAAAGTGTTTTTCTCAAAACAAATGGAACTTAAGTATTAAGCCCTACCACTAAATAGACATATATCAAATCTCATTACATTTTCAACAAAACGTCCTGAGCAATGGCTATAAATAGGTTTTACTATGATGGTGCCATGTTGGCCATATTTAAAATCAATTTCTAAACTCTTGAATAACTTCAGGTGTAGAAACAAGCATACAAACATTCAGCTTCATTGGTCCAGTGTGGTTTTTGATAATATGTTTATGATGAAGGTCAGACAATCGATGATGGTCAACAGACAATGGATAAACATACCATGACATTAGCCTTATTAACTGTCAGCCGGGAGGGCTAAAGTAAGTCTTGCCTAAGGTAAGAATACAGTTCATGTTGTTTCCTGATATACTGAAACTAGACAATGAGTCATAACACTGAATTGCTTGCTACCACTTCGATGCTCTTCTTTTCCAACCTCAGCATGCAGATCTGGCTGTGATGAAAGTTATGTTTGTTTGTTTCTTGTTTAACGCCACACTCAGCAATATTCCAGCTATATGACAGCAGTCTATAAATAATTGAGTCTGGACCAGACAATCTAGTGATTGACATCATGAACATCGATCCACCAACTGGGATACGATGACATGCATCAACCAAGTCAGCGAGCCTGACCACCCGATCCCGTTAGTCGCTTCTTACGACATGCATAGTCTCCTTTTACATCAAGCATGGGTTGCTGAAGACCAATTCTACCCAGGTGTGTGATGTTCTACCGATCACCCAAATTAAGTCACCTGGTTTTCCATCTTGACTATCCTGGCGCTGATGGTGAGCCTCTCCTTGTCGCGGGAGTGACTGGAGTACAGGGTGCCCGGCTTCCCCAGCGTCTGGTCCAGTCTGAAACAACAACATCATCTCAGCATGATCACAGCCTCTCATTCCTGCTAAGGGTTGGTGGGGTGGCATTGTGGTTAAAGCGTTTGCTCATCACGTCAAAGACCCAGGTTTAATTCCCCACATGGATGCAATGTTTGAAGACCATTTGTGGTGTCTCCCTACTTGTTATTGCGTATTGGTAAAAGCGGCATAAAATCATACTCTCTCCTTGGTGTTTGATTCATCTCTAATTAAGGAATCATAAATTCATTTAAGTGACAGGATCTTTGTTTGAGGCAAAAAAGGTTTTAAAAATACAATATTTAGTTACGTGTAATGATTTGATCACGATAAGAAATTTCCAGCTGTTAGCCAAACCATTAGTCAAATGGTGAAAATGTCAGTGGGTGTTCCACACCAACAGGATAGTCGTTAGAGTTATCCCCCTTACCCTGTCAGTCACACCAGTACTGAACAGTCTGAATGGATTCGTAAAATGTGGAACACAGTTATTGAGGATGAGTACCTTGATACCAGAAAGGCTTTGCTACACACTTGATGGCATGCTGTCTGACAACCAGCAGTAAATGGGCACCTGGTTAAGGTATTAATACAGTGATTCCCAACCTCAAATGGTTGTCAGTAGGCTACACTCCTTCAAGTTTCTTGAACTCCCCTCTACAACCAGTGACATGCTGTCTCCTGGCAGTAATTAGACGAGGTCAGGTAAAACGTATAGTTTAAAGTGAAAGCATGATGATAAATTTTTGTAACATCCTTATGTAGCCAGCATGACGTACAATAGGCTACAGTGGCTGAGATTAAAATTGTGAAAACGTAAAAGCCCTGTTGCTCTTAATTAAAAGTACATAATTCGAGGTCTGTATTTGCAACTAATGAGGAGGCGTGCTTTAATTAGCACGACAGGCTAGGCCTGCAAACTGATTGGGTATTACCACTAGCTGGGTACGGAATATACGCAATCATGTCATTATTTGTTGGGAGACCTGTGTTGTATATATAAAGCCGGTATGGATTCCATGTATGACAGCAGTATGGCTAGTGGGGTGTGTTAAATAACCTTGATTTAACATGAAAAAAATAATTTTAACATTGTAAGATATTTTTTTCCTTTTTCAGTTTTAGGTGAACGGGTACCATCCCAACCCCCTTTCCCTCAATCTGTGCCATTATGACGTTAGACATTGATTGATCTTTGTAGTCAGTTAGAGCTAATTAACCAGAACGGTATTTGTCTCACCTACAGTCACTCGTCTCATAACAACATGAAATTACAGTAGGGGCGGTCGGGTAGCCTAGTGGTTAAAGCGTTTGCTCATCACACCGAAGACCCGGGTTCAATTCCCGACATGGGTACAATGTGTGAAGCCCATTGCTGGTGTCCCCCGCCATGATATTGCTGGAATATTGCTTAAAGCGGCGTAAAACCATACTCACTCACTCACTCACTACAGTAGATTATTGCATAATGTATGCCAGAAGGCAGTCCAGGTATCAAAAACACTCAGCCATGTGTATAGCGTAATGTAACACGTTAGGAAGTGACACGGATTCCCAGATCGAGTCAATGACATGTCGTGTCCAAGTTGGAGATCATCCTGATTATTGTCATCACTATTGTCAGTCAAAGGTTCAAACATGTAGGGCTTCACCTGTACTTGTTCCTCTGACATCACCAATTCATCTTCCAGGAAACATTTATACTGATAACTTGTAAACTAATGTCACTGTCAGAGTCGGACATATCAGAAATTTATGACCGATTTGAGCTCACGATATCATTTTATACACAGATCAGCCAATATTTTAAACAAAGAAAGTCTGACAAAAAAATATAGAGATGAGTTCCGTAATGCAGACAATCCACGCAATTAAAGTAATAGCATGTTTCACACATCGTTTTCTCACCGAATATTGACCTCAATTTGTGATTTAAATGGCCTTTGTCACATTTCCGCTGTTGAAAGAAAGAGGAGTATATTTCAATCCTTTAATCCCACCAATATGTAGAAAACTACAGAATACAACCGTCATTGCTAATTGTGGAAAAGAGAATGTCTAAGGGTTAAAAAGGGTAAAGAATAGGTTAGCTTTGCTGACCATGACCATGAATGGAGACTTGCCTGCTAGAGTGCGAACGGAGGGGTGGGCTTGTGGTGTGATCAAACGTGTAATTTTAGAGGTAGTTTGTGAGATCAAACGTGTAATTTTGGGTGGTAATTTGTTCCAACAAGACCATACATGCAGTCTCTCTGTATATTATGGCTCCGCCTCCGCTGTATTTTCGTTTCAGCCTTTGAAATTGATAGACATGACAAAAGTGCAAATAAGCTTATTTACGCGCCACTTTCGATGTTTTGAAGATGTTATGATCTATGCACTTTAAAGTTAGGTTCATGTCATGTGCGTGTGTGCGTGTGTGCGTGTGTGCGTGTGTGCGTGTGTGTGTGCGTTATCCCGGTAATGCCGAGTACCAGGCAGGGTATGGCAGTAAACACAACAGGTCCGTAGTGACTTAATGGTTCAGAGTAGCCTAGTGATTAAAGCATTCGCTCGTCACGCCAAAGTTCAAATCCCCACATGGGTACAATGTGTGAAGCTCATTTCAGGTGTCCCCAGCCGTGATATTGAAGGAATATTGCTAAAAGTGACGTAAAACCATGCTCACTCACTCACTCAATGGCGGTCATATCACTAGAACATTTGAGAATGGACTTTATTTATATTTATTGCATTAATGGAGGTATAAACGTAAACAAAAGGTATGCACAGAGTGTAAATCCACATCGTGTCCACACCAATCAGTAAACAGTAGTCTGGGAGCATGACCTCATTTATCTGTTTGGTTTAAGGAAACATAAACGCAAAATAATTGCTTGGTTAGCTCATGAAATGCCACAGAGATTACTGAGTGAGTGAGTGAGTTGGGTTTAACAGTATTCCAGTTATATCACAGCGTGTCAGCTAAATGTGGAAAGAACACCCAAAGTGAAGCAGGTCTCAGACATTTAGCACTTCCGTGAAACCCATGAACAAGGGTTATGGTGCTGATAAACCTAGAAACATAATCACGGCGAACCAAGATTCGAACCCACAATCATAGGTTTCTGGCATGCCTAAGGGACGCAACTCTGCACAGCAACCCGTGACCCCCCACGGAGATTACGGAGTGTGGGTAACAAAACAAAGTAACGGCTGTAAAGTGGTTTGACAAAGGGTGTGTTCTGACTAGTGCACTTCTACATCTAGAACTCAGTCATCTACTGTGTCCGTCGCCCCAGCTCTCTGATGAAGAGGTCGCAGTGAGACGGGGACGTTTATTACAGCTACATGTCTCTGCAACACAATCACTGGACATCAAGCCTAAGCCTATCCCAGCAGGTCAGCCTTCACCCAGCTGTAATGAGCTAGAGCTGTCTGCAGGTTTTACCATTACCACTCCATATCTGTCTGTAATTCAAATCCACTGTAATATTAGTTTAAGGTTTGGTGGGCCAATACCACATTGTTGAGGTGTTCGCATCGAGGGAAATGGCTTATGAGAGGAGAATGTCACCAGACAAGTCAATTAAAGATGCAGACCTATTTTAAGTATTAATTGTCACTGACTGTGTCATGTTGCATGTACAAGGTTTTCATAACAAATGTTTCATGAGTTGTAACAAATAGACAATCTCACTTGTCAACCGAGACCAAACCTATCAAGACAAGTTGATTAAACTTACAAATATCCGAGGCTTACTGGGGATAGTTTTACTTATATCATAAAATGTTGATATATTTGAGCTTTGAAGACATGAGAGTGAGAGTCTCTATCATCCAAAATCATTCTTCAATATTGTTCAGTAATAACCAGTGTCTTCAGTGTAAACAGTACAGCTACATCTTCAGGGGCAGATATTTGTGATGTCATTTGATTGTGAAGTCTGATGATGTCACAATGGCTTGCAAAGCATTGTGATGTCATCTCCTTGGAGATGTTGCTTCATCTTACCTAAAACAATGTTAGTAAGATATAATTAAATATTCGTTGTGTTCATTGAAATTCCTTTATTCTGATTAGCTGAATTGGTCACGTGTTATTGCATTCATTTAAGCATTGACTGTGTATTTTTTTCGGTTCATTGAGGTATGAATCGAAAAACCAATGTGCAAACTGTATGAATCCGCGTAGCGGATTCTTACAAAAGTTTGCACATTGGTTTTTCGATTCATACCTCAATGAACCGAAACAAATACACAGTCAATGCTTATAATTAAATTCGACAACATAAAACATGTTTTATCTACAATAGTTTAACCAAAAACAGTTGGATATATCAAAACAGACAAAAATGACGACATTGACAAACATTCCAGGTGTAGGAATACATACTGTAGCATGCATGAATCAGGTGATTGCTTAATTTATGCACATAAATTGACACGCCTACACTGTCAGTAGCCAATCAACGGAGAGCAGGATCAAAACAATGTTCATTGGACCTGTCAGTTAAGACAAGTGGCGAAAAGAACTGCAACAGTCAGACTGTAACGAACCGGAAGAAATATGTCCGGGAGAATTTTTTTAAGGCGGCTGTTTCAAATTACATGGTCAGTTACCGCCAGATTCAAACATTACTTCCCTGATTACGGTAAAACACAGTTGGAAAAATGCTAGTTAGAAAGGAAACCCGAAGTCATGAAAGTTGAACCGAGGCGAGCAGAAACAAAAACAGGCGAGCGAGCCTGCACGTTTGCTGTTTGATTCATTCTCGGCCTTCGGTTTCAAAGGTTTGTTTGGACAATGAATATGCATGAAAGTCGCTAAATGTCCTGTGCATGACGATACACGTGAGCAGAAAGGGATCCCTCGGCTGTAATATTGGGATTCCCCGACATTCCGAAGTAATAAAAGTAGTGCGCCTCGGTGGGCGTGGCTTAATTTTTTACATTCATTGGGAAATGAATGCAATAACACGTGACCAATTCAGCTAATCAAGAATTTCAATGAACACAACGAAAATTTAATTATTTCCCAATGAATGTAAAAAATTAAGCCACGCCCACCGAGGTGCACTACTTTTATTACTGCGGAATGTCGGGGAATCCCAATATTACAGTCGAGGGAATTCCCTTTCTGCTCACATGTATTGTCATGCACAGGACATTTAGCAACTTTCATGCATATTCATTGTCCAAACTACCCTTTGAAACCGAAGGCCGAGATTGAATGAAACAGCAAACGTGCAGGCTCGCTCGCCTGTTTTTTTCCTCCATGCCTCAGCTCAACTTTCATGTCTTCAGTTTTCATTTCTAACTAGCATTTTTCCAACTGTGTTTTACCGTAATCAGGGAAGTAATGTTTGAATTTGGCGGTAACTGACCATGTATTTTGAAACAGCCGCCCTCTCCCGGACATATTTCTTCCGGTTCGTTACAGTCTGACTGTTGCAGTTCTTTTCGCCTCCTGCCATAATTAACAGGTCCAATGAACATTGTTTTGATCCTACTCTACGTTGATTGGCTACTGACTGTGTAGGCGTGTCAAGTTATAAGCATAAATTAAACGATCACCTGATTCATGTCACGCCACTGTATGTATTCCTACACCTGGAAGGTTTATCAATCTCGTCATTTTGTCTGTTTTGATATATCCAACTGTTTTTGGTTAAACTGTTGTAGATAAAACATGTTTTACATTGTCGAATTTAATTATAAGCATTGACTGTGTATTTTTTTCGGTTCATTGAGGTATGAATCGAAAAACCGATGTGCAAACTTTTGTAAGAATCAACTATGAGGATTCATACAGTTTGCACATCCGTTGTTTCGATTCATACCTCAATGAACCGAAAAAAATATGCAGTCAATCCTTAAATGTATAGAGATTCTTTTCACGATTTTTCACAATCTTTATGTGTTCATTGTTCTTTTCATTATGTCTTGTATCTGTGGTTTTTACACCTGGTATCTGGGTTTAACATAAATTATTTCAACAAGGTGTATTTGACACATTGTCAAAGCTGATATGTGGATGGTTTCTGACTGATGACCTTGACCTTGACCTGCTCACCTCCTCTGTAGCTCTTTGATTCTGACCATCATGTTGAGATGTCCCTGAGAATACTGCTCTATCACATCACGTACATCGTACGGCTTGCGAGCTTGCTGCAAACAACAACATTACGTTTGTTATCGGGGAAGCTGATGATATATGAATGTCTTCCTTTATTTCAGCTGCACTAACAACAATATCTATATTTTTAGGGTCAAGGGCTGCTGCGGGTTAGCCTAGTGGTTAAAGCGTTCACATGTCAAGACAAGGGTCTGGGTTCGATTCCCCACATGGAAACAATTATGTGTGAAGCACATTTCTGGTGTTCCCGTTATGATATTGCTGTAATATTGCTAAACGTGGCATAAAACAATACTCACACACTCTCTCACTTACTCTAAAGTTAAATATCTCAATGACATCATATACACTTAGTAGAGAAATCAAGTTATCTCATCTAATCTAGAAGTGGGACAGTACAGAGATGCATCCGTGGATCGCGATTTTTACTTCTCGATACAAGTATCGATCACAATTGCACACTAAGTAGAAATATTGATTCTAACCTTAAATGTTGGTTTTAATAACTGTTCCACCAAACACTAATCAGTAGTGCAAGTTAATAGTGAAAACATACATATTTTAATTTGTTGCGCCATACTTGACACTGACAGCTGTAAAACATCAGTGGGCCAGGTAGTCGGCCATCCTGTCTATGTCGAAGATGGCTTACACGCCACAGATAAGAGCACACGTGAGTATGGTGTTACATATTGGATCGTGAGTAAGGTATTGTGATACGTATCTGATGGCACAGTTGGTGTATCGTCTGAGCCTGAATCTAATTCCATCAAATATTTAATTACCCTGGTAACTAAATGTCTTACCTGGAATTTTCTTCTTGAAACAAAATACTTTATTTTTCGTATCACTCTTATAGCTGTTTTATGAGCTAATGTCAATCTGGAAAATAAAATTATCTTGAGTGATCATCTTCATCATGAATGATGACATGTGTTAGCAAACATCTGAAAATAGGCTGACACAACAGAACGATGCCTTCACACGGTATCTCCAAGTCCCATGTTTATAATGGTATGTCATGGAACATTTCAAAACAATTACAGTCAAATGCATGATTGAGTGAAAGTTGTTGAATGTGTTAGCAATATTACAATTATTTCATGACTGTCTGTAAACTTTTGAGCCTAGACCAGGCAACCAGTGAAAGTAAATAGTGTCAAGGCACTGTAGCTCACATGGATATGTATTTGGCTGTCTAAAATGACAAAGATTGGCACTGAACTGGGGTGAGGTGAAATGGGGTTTAACATCGCGTCCAAGATTATTGCACTTATAGCGTGTGTGTGTGTGTGTGTGTGTGTGTGTGTGTGTGTGTGTGTGTGTGTGTGTGTGTGTGTGTGTGTGTGTGTGTGTGTGTGTGTGTGTGTGTGCACGTCTGTGTGGCTGTGTGTGTGTGGCTGCTTGTACTAGTCCGGACTGAGGCTGATTTATAGTGCTGGCACACTGAGATACCATGCTGTAGTTCAACATGAATATCTCACTCAGACACAGTTTACCGACTCCGAGCCGACCAGTCCTTGTTTTAGCCCCTTAATGCCGAGCTCTAGACAGAGTAACGTCTTTTGGAATGACGAATCCGTGGAACGAACCCCGAACCTTCCGCACTCCGGGCAGACGCTCTACCACTAGACCACGGAGGCGGTCTCTCTAAACAGAATTTGATGTCAGCATTGATATTTAAGTACTGACTACAGTGCCAAAAATGCATTTTGAGAGATTTTAAGAGCATAGTGACAACTCTACTCAGCGGAAAAAGTTATTGTGACATGGAATTTTGTCATTGGTAATCTTGTAAATGAATTTGGGGATTTGAACCAGAGAAAGAGTGTGTTAGAATGGCCGATGCAATGCACCCAAGCACTTGTTGATCATTACCATACTTTGAAACATTTGTTATTCTATGTAATAACATTACAGTAAAAGTTTAACAATGATTCTGTTTGTTGTCTGTGTGTCACAATAACTTTTGCCTTTGAGTGTAGGTGAAAATGCTGTGTGATACTTACTGCACAACTTTCTCTGTCTCCTCCCCATCATAGTCTGTGTCTTCGATGTACTGCTCGTTCCCTCCACAGATGCTGGGGCGATGGCTGTCCTTGCGTCCTCCACGCGGAGTACCTGAACACAACACTTACAATGATGTCCACGACTTTCCAGCAGGGCATTGAGTCATCCATCAGATGATATCATTAACTTTCACTGTAGTCACCCTATTCCTGGCTTTACCCTTTTAGCCCTATGACTGAACGTGTTTGTGTAACATTTCTCAACACTCAACTAGCAGTCGGGAGTTGTGCCGGCGGTGAGATGGGAGATAGCCACCTCGAGGAGTGGAGGTGGACTGAGGGTATTCATATGCCTAGGAGGGATTGCGATACTTCAAATAAATAAAATGTTCTAGAAAATATGACGTTGGTCTGTAAGTAATCGAGTCTGGACCAGACAATCCAGTGATTGACAACATGAGCATCGATCCATGCAATTGGGATCGACGAAATGCATCAACCAAGTCAGTGAGCCTGACCACCCGATCCCGTTAGTCACCTCTTACGACAAGCATAGTCGCCTTTTACGGCAAGCATCGGTTGCTGAAGGTCGACCTATTCTACCCCGGATCTTCACAGGCCTGATAAAAGATCCTGTCTCTGACATAAATCAGAGAATATTAAATGGTCATTTCCTAAGCATGATAGCATATAGACAGGTACAAGCCCTTTACTCCTTGGGACAAGGCATCTGTGTCCTCATGAGGCCATTGGTCCAAGTCCAGGCTGCTCAGGAATTTCATGGCCGCCATACATATATGTATTAAACTTAATACAGAATCTATCTCAATTCATGACATTCCCAAAACTTGGTATTTCTCATTTCATTACATTGCAAATAAATGGTGTTTCCCTATTCATTACATAACAAAAAGGGGTCGTCGGGTAGCCTTGCGGATAAAGCATTTTCTTGTCACACCGATGACCCCGGTTTGAATCTTGACAAAGGTACAATGTGTGAAGCCCATTTCTGGTGTCCCTGCCCGTGATATTGCTGGAATATTGCTAAAAGCTGGGTAAAACTATACTCACTCACTCACATAACAAAAAATTGGTATTTTTCCACAGACACATCACCAGTTGAGTTGTGTTGAAATACCAATCATGGAATTAACTGTACAGTTCAATATACCTTCATAAAAGTGGTCTGATGCAATATGCCTTCATAAAAGTGGTCTGATGCAATATGCCTTCATAAAAATGGCCTGATGCAATATGCCTTCATAAAATTGGTCTGATGCAATATGCCCTTATAAAATGTTCTGATGCAATATCCCTTCATAAAAATGGCCTGATGCAATATGCCTTCATAAAAATGGTCTGATGCAATATGCCTTCATAAAAATGGTCTTATGCAATATGCCTTCATAAAAATGGTCTTATGCAATATGCCTTCATAAAAATGGTCTGATGCAATATGCCTTCATAAAAATGGTTTGATGCAATATGCCTTCATAAAAATGGTCTGATGCAATATGCCTTCATAAAAATGGCCTGATGCAATATGCCTTCATAAAAATGGTCTGATGCAATATGCCTTCATAAAAATGGTCTTATGCAATATACCTTTAAAAAAATGGTCTCATGCAATATGCCTTCATAAAAATGGTCTGATGCAATATACCTTTAAAAAAATGGTCTGATGCAATATGCTTTCATAAATGTGGTCTGATGCAATATGCCTTCCAAACAAATTGAACAATGCCATATGCCTTTTTAAGACACATGAGAATAGCATAATCTTTTGTGTTCATTAAAAGACAAAAGATGCAAAACAAAACAGTATCCAGTATGACAGTTTGACACGTCATCACTTCCTGTTGCATCTGACCTGGGATTTCAACTCTTTCCTTGAAACCATAACTTTTTTCGAAATGTTTTAATTTTTAAGAAAAGGTCATTTAGTCACATAAATCACCAGGTTTCCACAGAGCAATTAGATCTGATTTATGTTGTAAATGATCAAAAACATTTTGACAAAACTTCATCATCAGTCAATCCCAATAACAAGAAGTAGTGAATAAGCAGCTGTACCGAAGCCCTCTGTGTTTGAGATGTATCTACGTCTACTCACACAGCCTCGTGAGTACAGCGTAAACCTTGACAAGAAACTGAAAACCTCATTAAATATCAGCTGTTTGCCACACAGAATACATTTACTCCAATTGACAAGATGCTCAACTTCTTGTCAAACTAACAATGATTAAAATGAACATTAAAAGCGCCTGTTGGTCAATAACCTCTTCATGGTATCTTTTTGTATGACCTCAATTTCATTTCACTAATAAACATTTTCAGACAATAAATAATGTGCATATTAGTAAAGCACCAATTCCTCACCCAAAAGTGAGTGAGTGAGTATGGTTTTATGCTGCTTTTAGCAATATTCCAGGGATACCGGAAATGGGCTTCACACATTGTACCCATGTCGGGAATCGAACCTGGGTCTTAGGCGTGACGAGCAAACGCTTTAACCACTAAGCTACCCGACCGCCCCCACAGCCTAAAGCATGCATAAAGCACTACATTATTACCCTGGTCAATGGATCAGTATGCACACAATTTTCTTTCTCAGCTCCCAGGGGAGTATACAAGCCAAGCTGTATCTGATGTGCTAGAAGGTTAACAGTCACATTACCCTCTCATCCTACCAGGTACCCGATCACTGCTGAGTAATCAGAGGCATATTTCCAACAAAGTCACTTGCTTAAGGAGACACAACATCCCCAACAGTGTAGACACTCTCAGGAACCAAGTTGCCGAACAGTCACCCATCCAACTACTCTCCACAGCCAACACTATATAATATTGACAGGATTAGTGAGTGAGTGAGTGAGTGAGTGAGTGAGTGAGTGAGTGAGTGAGTGAGTGAGTGAGTGAGTATGGTTTTATGCCGCTTTTAGCAATATTCAAGCAATATCATGGCGGGGGACACCAGAAATGGGCTTCACACATTGTACCTGTGTCAGATATCGAACCCGGGCCTTAGGCGTGACGAGCTAACGCTTTAACCACTAGGCTACCCGACCTCCCCGACAGGATTAGTAATAGCTACAGCCCTAAATAGCCAGATCATGTCTGTAAGCTGTTTAATATTCACAATTTCAAACTGAGAAATACGACATTTATTGCCTTTGGCCAGGGCAAAGATATTGTGTGTTATACCACAGGGCATTCCTATTCAGCCTGAAAATTTAGCAAAGGTTACAAGTTTTTCCAAAGATCATTTGAGTAGATGAACTATTTCTACATGAGTAAGTGAGTATGGTTTATGTCACTTTTAGCAATATTCAAGCAATATCATGGCTGGGGACACTAGAAATGAGCTTCACACATTGTACCTATGTTGGAAATCGAACCCGGGTCTTTATCGCGACGAGTGAACACTTTAACCACAAGGCTACCCGACCACCCCATTTCTACATGAGAATATGCATAACAAACATAGGCCGTAAAAACAAACATGAATCTCAGTGCAAACCTCATATTGCACCTTTAAGGTTATGTACAGACAGCAGCATTTGCAACAAGCAAGAAAGAAGCATGCATATATTATTGACCAACTTTCTACATGACTTAGATCATGGATTATACAAGAGTATCAGGATGAAATTTGAAAGTTTTTTTAATCTGATCCAAGCCAAAGCAAACAAATGTTGTGTTTTACTGACACAATCAGTATTGCTTCACATATTGCTTCATGGTTCTGTCATGTTTTACTTGTTTTATTTGTTTTACGTTAGTGTGAAGCAGGCACACTTTTGACAAGCGCTGCTCACCGGCCTGAACGTAAACTGCCAGTCAAAACAAAGTCCATATTTGATGGTGGGTAAAAATGAACAAATAAGAAATGGGTATTCCATTTTGATGTATTTGATAACGATATCATAGCTGTGTTTGGATCATAAGATTGCAGTGTTTTGACGACTGCTTTCAGCCTAGTAACGTTTTGATGATGTTTGTAATGTTTTCATCAAATCCTAAGGTAAAGTATGTGCTTTACTTAGCCTGGTGGTTGGTATCTGGGGGTCATCCATGATTAAAAAAAAGTATCTGCAAAATATATGAAAGGAATAAAAGATTGTATATGCAAGGGTGATCAAGGTAATGTAAAAAGGTAGGTCAATATTACTGAAAAGTGATAGGTCATTAGTAACTCGTGAAAAAGCAAACCTAGTTTTTCATCGGTATAAGATATTGACGACACACTTTCTCGATGTAGATGATTGGAAGCTGTGGTGCCGATGTCGAGGCGTGACGCTCGACGTTTGCGTAATGTCAGACTTGCACGCCGCGCCACACGGGCAAATACTGTCTCTTCATTGGTTGGATCATGGACATGAATCTTCCACGTGGCTTCTGACTTGGAGTTGGGATCTGAGGCATGACATCTCCACAGACACTGGAGACAGAGAAGAAACATGAGTGAGTGAGTGAGTGAGTGAGTGAGTGAGTGAGTGAGTGAGTGAGTGAGTGAGTGCGTGCTTGCGTGAGTGAGTGAGTGAGTGAGTGAGTGGGTGGGTGGGTGAGTGAGTGAGTGAGTGAGTGGGTGGGTGGGTGAGTGAGTGAGTGAGTGGGTGGGTGGGTGGGTGGGTGGTTGGGTGAGTGAGTGGGTGGGTCGGTGGGTGGGTTTGTGAGTGAGTGAGTGAGTGAGTGAGTGAGTGAGTGAGTGGCCTCATTGTTTCTAAGGACATACCGGGGCCAGTGGATTGGCCATGTGGGTAAAGCGTTCACCTGGCATGCGGTAGGCCCGGGTTTGATTCTCAACATGGATACAATGTGTGAAGCCCATTTATGTTCTCCCCTGCCATGTTATTGCTGGAATGTTTCTAAAAGCAGAGTAAAACTATACTCCCTCACTCACTCTGTCAGCACATGAAACAAACGTTATAATTCAGATAACACTTTCTTTGTAAAGTTCAGATTCTCGTGGAAGCCTCAGTTGCTGAGTGGGTTAGATCGCTGACTTTGTGCGATTAGTTGCCTCACTGTGGAAGTGTGGTTTCGAATCCCGGGTGGGACTCAACCCAGCCTAGTAGTTAAAGCATTCGCTCGTCACGCCGAAGAACCGGGTTCGATTCCTGACATGGTTACAATGAGTGAAGCCCATTTCTGGTGTTCCCCGCCGTGTTATTGCTGGAATATTGCTAAAAGCGGCGTAAAACCAAACTCACTCACTCACTCACTCACTGCATGACGGCACAAGCTCAACTGAACCTCCTCCCCAGTTGTCTGAACAATATGGTGGCCTGTAACGCTGCATGTGTTGACTGTCAATAAGTCCGACAATAAGTCTGGCTTTCCTGGACCCTCTGCTCCTGTGATTCTGTTTATATCAACTCCACTGAGCCGTGCAATACCACCGTTCTATAGAGCCTTATCCTGGCTGGACACATGGGCACAGATAGCGTGTCCTGTGACATCCACGACCATCCAGTTCAGGAGATATCTGTTTGACATGTTAGCCACAACACTGATCAGTGTATTCTGTGACCCGTGAAGATCCGGGGTAGAATTGTTCTTCAGCAACCCATACTTGTCGTAAAAGGCGACTAACGGGATCGGGTGGTCCCCTCGCTGACTTGGTTGATGCATTTAATCGTATTCCAACTGCTTGGATTGATGCTCATGATGTCAATCACTGGATTGTGTGGTCCAGACTTGAGTATTTACAGATCGCCGTCATATAGCTGTGATATTGCTGAGTGCGGCATTAAACAACAAACAAACAAAAGTGTATTCTGTGACATCCACTACCATCCAGTATAGGAGATATGCCTGAACACACAGATCTAGTTCAATTGAATACATGTTCTTGTGAACAGCAGGTGACCTTTGCATTGGTGGGTGAACTCTGCCGTCTTTGATGTCCACAAAGTTGTGCAGTCGGAGTACTGCAGGAAGTTGGCATGACTTCCCGCTTATCCTGAGACAACTTTGATCACATCCACGAATGCAATACGATGTGACAGCTCCCTCAGACATGGCGGTTCAGCTTCCAGCAAGTCCTGTATTCTCAGCAAGGAGGCACCATGAAGGCTGACACATTGTTGGGTGAGTGGGTGAGTGAGTGAGTGAGTGAGTATGGTTTTACACTGCTTTTAGCAATATTCCAGTAATATCACGGCGGGGGACACCAGAAATAGGCTTCACACATTGTACCCTTGGCGGGAATCGAACCCGGGTCTTCGGTATGACGAGCGAACGCTTTAACCACAAGGCTACACATAGTTGGCATGTCACCATGGCTAATGAGGACTTGAAGTTAACCACCATGCTTGTCAATATATAACATACTGGCAACTTTGGGGCTAAACATAATGCACTATTTAGCCTTGAATTTCTACAAAGCCAATTTTCATGATCTTGAATATCCTGCCATATCTCAGCTTCTGATTCTGGCAGTGACTTTTTGAATCACATGTTCTTGAAACATTTACTCATGTGGCAGTCATCTTATCAGGGATGTCTCACCTGAATGACTATTGCTGCTGCAGGTACTGCCTCCTCACGACCCATATGGGATGTCTCACCTGAATGACTATTGCTGCTGCAGCTACTGCCTCCTAACGACCCATATGAGATGTCTCACCTGTCTGACTATTGCTGCTGCAGGTACTGCCTCCTAACGACCCATATGGGATGTCTCACCTGTCTGACTATTGCTGCTGCAGGTACTGCCTCCTAACGACCCATATGGGATGTCTCACCTGTATGAGTGTTGCTGCTGCAGGTACTGCCTCCTCACGACCCATATGGGATGTCTCACCTGAATGACTATTGCTGCTGCAGCTACTGCCTCCTAACGACCCATATGGGATGTCTCACCTGTATGAGTGTTGCTGCTGCAGGTACTGTCTCCTAACAACCCATATGGGATGTCTCACCTGTATGACTATTGCTGCTGCAGGAACTGCCTCCTAACGACCCATATGGGATGTCTCACCTGTCTGACTATTGCTGCTGCAGCTACTGCCTCCTAACGACCCATATGAGATGTCTCACCTGTCTGACTATTGCTGCTGCAGGTACTGCCTCCTAACGACCCATATGGGATGTCTCGCCTGTCTGACTATTGCTGCTGCAGGTACTGCCTCCTAACGACCCATATGGGATGTCTCACCTGTATGACTATTGCTGCTGCAGGTACTGCCTCCTAACGACCCATATGGGATGTCTCGCCTGTCTGACTATTGCTGCTGCAGGTACTGCCTCCTAACGACCCATATGAGATGTCTCACCTGTATGACTATTGCTGCTGCAGGTACTGCCTCCTAACAACCCATATGGGATGTCTCACCTGAATGACTATTGCTGCTGCAGCTACTGCCTCCTAACGACCCATATGAGATGTCTCACCTGAATGACTATTGCTGCTGCAGGTACTGCCTCCTAACGACCCATATGGGATGTCTCACCTGTATGACTATTGCTGCTGCAGGTACTGCCTCCTAACGACCCATATGGGATGTCTCGCCTGTCTGACTATTGCTGCTGCAGGTACTGCCTCCTAACGACCCATATGAGATGTCTCACCTGTATGACTATTGCTGCTGCAGCTACTGCCTCCTAACGACCCATATGAGATGTCTCACGTGTATGACTATTGCTGCTGCAGGTACTGCCTCCTAACGACCCATATGGGATGTCTCACCTGTATGACTATTGCTGCTGCAGGTACTGCCTCCTAACGACCCATATGGGATGTCTCACCTGAATGACTATTGCTGCTGCAGGTACTGCCTCCTAACAACCCAAATGGGATGTCTCACCTGTATGACTATTGCTGCTGCAGGTACTGCCTCCTAACGACCCATATGGGATGTCTCACCTGAATGACTATTGCTGCTGCAGCTACTGCCTCCTAACGACCCATATGGGATGTCTCACCTGTATGAGTGTTGCTGCTGCAGGTACTGCCTCCTAACGACCCATATGGGATGTCTCACCTGAATGACTATTGCTGCTGCAGCTACTGCCTCCTAACGACCCATATGGGATGTCTCACCTGTATGAGTGTTGCTGCTGCAGGTACTGTCTCCTAACAACCCATATGGGATGTCTCACCTGTCTGACTATTGCTGCTGCAGGAACTGCCTCCTAACGACCCATATGGGATGTCTCACCTGTATGACTATTGCTGCTGCAGGTACTGCCTCCTAACGACCCATATGGGATGTCTCACCTGTATGACTATTGCTGCTGCAGGTACTGCCTCCTAACGACCCATATGGGATGTCTCGCCTGTCTGACTATTGCTGCTGCAGGTACTGCCTCCTAACGACCCATATGAGATGTCTCACCTGTATGACTATTGCTGCTGCAGGTACTGCCTCCTAACGACCCATATGAGATGTCTCACGTGTATGACTATTGCTGCTGCAGGTACTGCCTCCTAACGACCCATATGGGATGTCTCACCTGTATGACTATTGCTGCTGCAGGTACTGCCTCCTAACGACCCATATGGGATGTCTCACCTGAATGACTATTGCTGCTGCAGGTACTGCCTCCTAACAACCCAAATGGGATGTCTCACCTGTATGACTATTGCTGCTGCAGGTACTGCCTCCTAACGACCCATATGGGATGTCTCACCTGAATGACTATTGCTGCTGCAGGTACTGCCTCCTCATGACCCATATGGGATGTCTCACCTGAATGACTATTGCTGCTGCAGCTACTGCCTCCTAACGACCCATATGAGATGTCTCACCTGTCTGACTATTGCTGCTGCAGGTACTGCCTCCTAACGACCCATATGGGATGTCTCACCTGTATGACTATTGCTGCTGCAGGTACTGCCTCCTAACGACCCATATGGGATGTCTCACCTGTCTGACTATTGCTGCTGCAGGTACTGCCTCCTAACGACCCATATGAGATGTCTCACCTGTCTGACTATTGCTGCTGCAGGTACTGCCTCCTAACGACCCATATGGGATGTCTCACCTGTATGAGTGTTGCTGCTGCAGGTATCTGTCTGTTGAAGTGCTTCTGGCGCTGCTTCTGTTGGACTTTTAGAGCAAAACCTGAACCAAGGATACCCTGAAACACAGCACATCTTCAGTGAACAAAAGGCAACAAATTCTGACAATGCTGCAATACAGTACATGTTATAACTATTTTTGTCTTGTCTCCCAGACCCTAGAAAATAAATTTATATAAGAGCCCAAATCAAGTCTGGAATGATTGAGCAAGCCTAGATTGCCTTAGCTCTAGGGTTACTGAAATTACGAATGTGTCCTGGGCTCCATTTGGATTTAATTTTTTATTTTGAAGAGATATATCTTTAAATAAAATAACTTTATTTCCGTGACTAACTTTTCACACAACCGTAGGTCTGTAACAGTTCACTGAAGTGTCTGATGTATAGATATACTTTGTGTAACATTTACATTTCTTCAAAAACAAATTCTGGTTAAACCAGCTTTAACAAATCAAATTCTACTTGTCAGCCAGCAATAATGAGTGCTAATTGTTCATTGGATCAACACAGTGGTGACAGAGGTTGCCTTGAAACAATCAGAGAATGACCCAGGTGTGTTTATCATTCAGTGATGTTTTACACGCAATGCCAGATATTAAAAGGATAGCATCACTGATTGAGATGTGATATCCATGTATTAATTTTAAACTGACAGGCACATAGCCCATGTGAAACAGGAGTTGATACAAACTGTAAACAGCCATATATAGTATTACAGTCCCTCGCATTCATGTTTAAGAAGAGATGGCCGTGTACAGAAATGAAGTGGAGGATAATCACACAGAGGCTGGTGGTTTGATTTCACAGCCTCTTGCACAGTGCTCTGCTAAGTTCAGCAGCCCACTCCATCCACCTTAGCATTACCAGTCAGAGTGTTGCTGTGGGAGTGTGGTATGAGTGTGTGTGTGTGTGAGAGAGAGAGAGAGAGAGAGAGAGTGTGTGTGAGAGAGAGTGTGTGTGAGAGTGTGTGTGTGAGAGAGTGAGAGTGTTTCTGTGAGAGTGCATGTGAGTGTGGTATGAGTGTGTGTGTGAGCTTGGTATGAGTGTTTCTGTGAGAGTGCATGTGAGTGTGGTATAAGTGTGTGCATGTGAGTGTGTGAGCGTGGTATGAGTGTGTGTGAGAGAGAGTGAGTGTGTGTGTGTGTGTGAGCGTGGTATGAGTGTGTGTGTGAGAGTGCATGTGAGTGTGTGAGCGTGGTATGAGTGTGTATGTGAGTGCATGTGAGTGTGTGTGTGAGTGTGTGTGTGAGAGTGCATGTGAGTGTGAGTGTGGTATGAGTGTGTGAGTGTGAGATTGCATGTGAATGTGTGTGTGTGTGTGTGTGTGTGTGAGACAGTGCATGGCAAAGTGAGTATGGTCTGAGTGTGTCTGTGAGAGAGTGTGTGTGTGTAAGAGTGCATGTGAGTGTGGTATGAGTGTGTGTGTGTGTGAGCGTGGTATGAGTGTGTGTGTGTGAGAGTGCATGTGAGTGTGAGTGTGTGTGTGTGAGCGTGGTATGAGTGTGGGTGTGAGAGTGCATGTGAGTGTGAGAGTGCATGTGAATGTGTGTGTGTGAGAGTGAGAGTGCATGTGAATGTGTGTGTGTGTGAGAGTGCATGGGAGAGTGGTATGAGTGTCTGCGTGTGAGTGCATGTGAGTGTTGTATGAGTGTGTGTGTGTGTGAGAGTGTGTGTGAGTGTGTGAGAGAGTGTGTGTGTGTGTGAGTGAATGTGAGTATGTGTGTGAGTATGAGAGAGAGAGATAGAGAGTGTGTGTGTATGACGTTTGTGTTTACCTATAAGGACAGCAAGTCGCAACAGCAACAGAACCACAATTTGTCGAATGATGTCAACAATCTTTAGCTATGATGTTGTTTCCGACCTCACGCCACAATAAGATTCAAATGACGTAAACAATAATGTCGGGATAACGGAAACAATACACTGTTGTCTCATGACGTGATATTGTGACAGATACAACATTGTACATATTTATTTTATTCACCTTCAGTATCTGCTTTTAAGTGTTCAACTTTTATGTTTAATCATTAGTTAAGATAGATTAAATGTAGTTAATGTGTCCTTCATGTTGTAAGCCTTAACAAACCCAAGCCATGACATTCTCAACTGATTGGCCAAGCTAACCCTCAAAGTTGACCCTTTGTCTCACTGCATGTTCTCAGTCTGCACACATTTTCTGCATAGACAAGTTGCCAAGTGAAATCATCTAAAATCAGGTTAGTTTAATATGTATGTGTATACTTGTATTGTTGTTATTGCAGTTAAATGTTGCAGTATATTAAACCTATAATACTAAACTTAACTAAACATGTTTAATATCATCATATTCTCAGTTAAAATCTATTTAAGTAATTGTGGTAAACAATACTTATAAATTGTAAGCTTTGGTAATTACTAATATATCACTCTTCTGTCTCTTTATTCTTGTATGTATGAGGAAGAGTGTATGTGTTGTTTTTCTATGCTATGTTTTAAATGCTTTTGTGATCAGTTCTGTATAATATACAGTCTGTACTATACAGGATCTGGAGAAATATTTTAACGTGTATGTAAATAGTTGTATTAGTCATTGTTATAAAAGTATATGTTTTATTCAGATATCCGGATTTATAAGTTGCGGCGCTAGTTGGGAAGACACCCCAGTCTCACCCACAGGGTAGGCACATAATAACTTGTATAGTCAGTTTCTATATTTGTGTAACACATAAGTGTGTCACACCCGTAAAGTCCTGTATATGTATGTATTTTGAAAGAGATTTGTAATCGCTTTACACTTAGATAATATGATATATGAATAATTATTCTGTTTGGTTCTTACATCAGTTAGCAGATCATTGTACAGTGTAACAACTAATATATGAATAAGATGTGTTTGTAATGTAAAACGGTGTGTAATACTGTCATGTCCATGACTGCATTATGTATATTGTTAATATTACTTATCATTCCTTTAATATGTTTCAGGGTGTATATCCTAGATAGATAAATATATGACAAATCCATTGGCGGAATAAACGTCTCTCACCCGTAGCGTGTGTTTGCCTCTCACTCATTCACTGCCCAGCTACAGTATGGGCACATATGATTTTAATAAACCCTGAGATGTTTTCCCTCATAGATAAAAATTCTCATTTCTGTCTTTCTCTATTTCTACATGACACTCACATTTAAACTTAAAAATCAAATGTATTCCCCACTATCCAACATCACACCACACTCACATCTAAACTGGAAAATTCCATGTATTCCCCACTATCCAAAACCCCATCACACACTTACATTTAAACTGGATAATCACATGTATTCCCCACTATCCAACACCACATCACACTCAAATCTAAACTGGATAATCCCATGTATTCCCCACTATCCAACACCCCATCACACACTTACATTTAAACTGGATAATCCCATGTATTCCCCACTATCCAACACCACATCACACTCACATATAAACTGGATAATCCAGTGTATTCCCCTATGTCCAACACGACACCACCCTCACAACTAAATTGGATAATCCCATGTATTCCCCACTATCCAACAAAACACCACACTCACATTTAAACTGGAAAATCCTATGTATTCCCCACTATCCAACACCACACTACACTCACATTTAAACTGGATAATCACAAGTATTCCCCACTATCCAACACCTCATCACACTCACATTTAAACTGGAAAATCCTATGTATTCCCCATTATTCAACACCACACCACACACACATTTAAACTGGCTAATCCCATGTACACCCCATTATCCAACACCACACTCACATTTAAACTGGAAAATCCCATGTATTCCCCATTATCCAACACCACACCACACTCACATTTAAAATGGAAAATCCCATGTATTCACCACTATCCAACACCACACTACACTCACATTTAAACTGGATAATCCCATGTATTCCCCACTATCCAACACCACATCACACTCACATTTAAACTGGAAAATCCCATGTATTCCCCACTATCCAACACCACACCACACTCACATCTAAACTGGATAATCCCATGTATTCCCTACTATCCAACATCACACTAACATTTAAACTGGAAAATCATATCTATTCCCCATTATCCAACACAACACCACACTCACATTTAAACTGGAAAATCCCATGTATTCCCCATTATCCAACACCAAAACCACATACCTACATTTAAACTGGATAATCACATGTATTCCCCACTATCCAACACCACACTACACTCACATTTAAACTGGATAATCCCATGTATTCCCCACTATCCAACACCTCACTACACTCACATTTAAACTGGATAATCACATGTATTCCCCACTATCCAACACCACATCACACTCACATTTAAACTGGCTAATCCCATGTATACCCCATTATCCAACACCACACCAAACTCACATTTAAACTGGATAATCCCATATATTCCCTACTATCCAACATCACACTCACATTTAACCTGGAAAATCCCGTGTATTCCCCACTATCCAACACAACACCACACTAACATTTAAACTGGAAAATCCCATGTACTCCCCACTATCCAACACCACACCACACTCACATCTAAACTGGATAATCCCATGTATTGCCCATTATCCAACACCACACCAAACTCACATTTAAACTGGATAATCCCATGTATTCCCTACTATCCAAATTCACACTCACATTTAAACTGGAAAATCTCATGTATTCCCCATTATCCAACACCAAAACCACACACTTACATTTAAACTGGATAATCCCATATATTACCAACTATCCAACATCACATCACACTCACATTTAAACTGAATAATCCAATGTATTCCCCACTATCCAACACCACATCACCTTCACATCTAAACTGGATAATCCCATGTATTCCCTACTATCCAAAACCCCATCACACACTCACATTTAAACTGGAAAATAACATGTATTCCCCACTATCCAACACCACATCACACTCACATCTAAACTGGATAATCCAATGTATTCCCATATATCCAACACCCCATCACACACTCATATCTAAACTGGAAAATTCCATGTATTCCCCACTATCCAAAACCCCATCATAC